TCCCAGCCCATAATGATTCACAGTCAGTCTGTGAAGAGTCCGACAGATGTCTGCTCAAGTAACAGTCTTTCAGGGGAATGTTGATAAGAACCCACCTTTATCTCTCTTGAAACACTGCCAGAGATCTAATTGCCAATTAGTTTTGCAAGGCCAAACATAGCATAGAGTCAAACAGGACTTCTCAGAGCTTAAACCGAATATATGAACTAATTGCTTCCTGCAAAAGCTCATGCCCCGTTTGCGCCTCTTCTATGTCTTATGGGAGGGGCCAATCATCTCTAAGCCTTACTCCCGAGTCTCCCTTTTTGTCTTAACTGTTCTTGCCTTCTGGCAGCTCTACACATGTGCACACTGGGAACAGGCTCCTGCTGTTCTTCTGCCTTGCTGATGTCAGGCTCTGGAGGCAGCACATAACTACTGGCCCTCTCTCTGCCTCCGATGCAGAGTCCTCGTCCAAGCCTTCCCCATCCTCCAGGACTGGCCCATGTTCCTCCCCAACCTTCTCACTGTCCAACTCTGCTGCCAACTCCGCAGGCCACCAGCCGCTGGCAGACCACAACAGAAAAGTCCACCAGCAGTAAATTCCGCCTTGCTTGCTTGGTTTCCTATTTCTTCACTGCCCATCTTGCTCAGAGATGGCTCAGCGAAGGACAGCATAAGCTTCTCTTACTTGGACCCCAGTGGTTAGATGAAGGCAAGAAGATAGGGGCATAACAGAATAAATAAATAAGTCTGGGATGGGAGGTATGGTTATACTGTGGTTCACTGCAAGTATGGATGTGGCATCTAGCACAGTGCATTCCAACCTCGGTCACTTTAAAAGGTATGGACCAATTCCCAGAATTCATCAGCCTGCACGCTGAGAAAGCCCACGCCTCTTAACATCTGAGACTCCCTGCTGGACTCACGGTTCCTTGAGCCCAACTGGTTCTTTGCCCTAATGACCAGCTGGGTAGGTGTGGCCCGGTGATCATGTGACCAAGTGGGTGTGGTCAACTCAACATCACTCAGGTTGATGGGCACTTTCGCCTTAGCTGTGACAATGTAATAAGGGTTAACTGGAGAGGCAGTTTCTGTAAGCAGGGCAATAAAGATGAGAATGTTTCCTCCCTGCCTTCCTTACAGGATTAACTCTGTAAAGTGGAAAGAAAGAAAAGGAGATTTCTTCCAAAAACCGAACTGCTTAGAAAGTTAACAACTGGTTCTCCCGAAGAGGTGCAAACTGGCTGAATCCCACCACTGCTTGAGTCCATACCCAAACTAGCCTGCCTTGCCATGTCTTCTGCAAAAATAGCAATAAGACATCTGCATTTTTGAATGATCGCTGGCACAGAAGGATGAAATCTGTGACTCTTTAGGTATTGCTGAACCGCAGAGCCACATCCCCCACCCAGAACATGCTGGTGAGATTGTGCTAGAAAACCTTCAGCTCTTTTGGCACCACTGTCACTGTGGCTGTCATTGTGGCGGGGTTGCCCAACATTCTTCAGTCAGGTCAACTAAATATTACAATGTGCAGTTTTCATGTTGTGCAAAAGCTAGACTGGTTTTAATTGGTTTTTCTCTTTGTTCCTTAATGTGTTGTATGAACTCTGCTTGCTTAATTAGGACAGGGGTTGACTTGCAATGTAGGAAGGCAATATTATTTTTCCAGGCATTTGAGAGGCTCCTCCTATGTATTTCCGTTCTGCACCCAAAATGGGAACAACAGGCTCAGCTGTTTTTCACCAAGTCAGTCATTTTACACCCAGCTCTCCAGAATATACCCAGTCAACACATTTCACTCTTGTAACCTCAGGATGAGATGATTACTTACTATGTTACTTCGTAAATGTTATCTGAAAAAGAAACAACATTTGAATGAATTTTTATTTCCAGAAAACAAAGTCACTGATACATTAAACTAAAAAAACAAGTACAAAACTGTAAAAAAAGAAAAGAAAAGAAAAAAGAAACAGGGAATGAAATGGAACAGAACAAAACAAATAAAAACAACTGGATAATTGGACATCAGGGTGAACAGCTTCTCTGGCAACTCTTACGGTGTCCTGTTTTGAATTGATCAAGGCCCAGCAGTTTCCTAAAGTTCTCCTTGATAGCAGAATTTTGATGCTATGCTTGCCTTTTATTAACATTATACTTGTTGTGGTCCACCACCAGCCTGCGGAATTGGCCACAGAGTCGGACAACGAGGAGATTAGGGAGGAACATGGGCCAGTCCTGGGATCTGGGCATGGTTCAGACGAGGGCTCAGCATCGAGTCAGAGAGGGGCCCAGGGCCACCTGGGAGTTAGGTGCTGCCTCCGAAGCCTCTAGAGTCAGAAATGAGCGAGGCAGAGGAACAGGCTCCCCCAGGCTGTCCACAGTGCCCGCATGTGCAGAGCTGCCAAAAGGCAAGAACAGTTAAGACAGAAGGGATGACTCAGGAGTAACACTTAGAGGTGTAGGTATAGGACATAAAGAAGCACAGGCATGGGAGTCTTTGCAGGAAGCAACTTGGTTCATGCCAGTGGTGAAATTCAATTTTTTTACTACTGGTTCTGTGGGCGCGGCTTGGTGGGCGTGGTGTGGCTTGGTGGGAGTGGCAGGGGAAGGATACTGCAAAATCTCCATTCCCATCCTACTCTGGGGCCATCCAGAGGTGGTATTTGCCAGTTCTCCAAACTACTCAAAATTTCCACTACCGATTCTCCAGAACCTGTCAGAACCTGCTGGATTTCACCCCTGGTTTATCCTGGTCAGTTTACCATCTGAAGCTCCCTTTTGACTCTTTGCTCCATGTGGACTTGCCAAACTAATTGATAATTAAGTCTTAAGCAGTATTTCAAGGAAGATAAAGGCGGATGCTTATTAGCCTTATCCCGAAGGACTTTGGCAGCCTACTGTAGGACTCTGTACAACTACTGGGGACTCATTACTGGATGTGAATGAACATAATTCACAGCCTTTGAAATAAAAAGAGGGGTTTTGGGACTAAGCGTGTGCTTTTTAATGTATCAGGAAGCCTTGGTCAGAACAATATCCTGGTTGTTCTCCCACTGTGGTTAGATGGACCTGGGGTGACATGACAGCAGTCTTCCAATATTTGAGAAGCTGCCATAAAGAAGAGGTGTCAGCCTATTCTCCAATGCACCAGAAGTCAAGACAAGAAACTAATCAAAGAGAAAAGCAACCTGGAACTAAAGAGAAATTTCCTAACAGTGAGAACAATAAACCAGTGCAATGGCTTGCTGTCAAAAGTGGTGGGTGCTTCAACACTGGAGGTGTTCATGAAGAGACTTGACCGCCATTTGTCTGAAATGGTATCTGCTTGAGCAAGGGGGTTGGACTAGAAGACCTCCAAGGTCCGTTCCAACTCTACTATTCTATGTTCTACAATATGTTTTGAAATTTCACTTGGCCTACTTGAAGTGTTCACTCACTGATTTTAGCTAGTTTCCACCCACCACCTGAACATACACATTCAGAATCTTACACAAAAATCAAGTCTCAGGATTGGGACAAAACAGCAGATTTCTACCTTCGAGTTTTCCTCTAGAATCCAGAATTTATTATCTTAAATCTAGCCTATAAGTGCTAAATGGTGCTGTCCAAAAATTCACTATTAGCAATCTGGTTCCTAATTTGCTGTAGACTTCCGATTCCTAAACTCCAAGTTGTTCCACTGTTGTCCCCTGATCCCCAATCCGAGAAAATGAGCACCACCAGACAACTCACCAGTCTTCGTTTTCCTTCTGCAAAATATCACAGAGACGACCATAAGGATGAAAGCTGCAGAGAGCAGAGCAATCAGGATGATGATATAGAGGGGCAGACCTTTCTTCTGAGCACCTGGAGCTAGAGGGGCACAGCAGAAATGGAGATTTCCATCAAATTTCCCTTGACCTTTCAACTTTAAGATGATGGAGGCAAACCAACATGGGGCTTTGGTTTGCATCAATTATCTTAATTGTTAATATTCTTAGACCATCCTTCCTAGGGGTAGGTTGCTGCCGGCACTGCTGCTGGTTCAGTGCCTCAGAAGAAAGGTNCATCATCCATCCAATCCATCCATCATCCATCCATTCCATCCATCCATCATCCCTCCCTCCAATCCATCCATCCATCCATTCAATCCATCCATCCATCCATTCAATCCATCCATCCATCCAATCCATCATCCATCCAATCCATCCATCATCCATCCATTCCATCCATCCATCATCCCTCCCTCCAATCCATCCATCCATCCATTCAATCCATCCATCCATCCATTCAATCCATCCATCCATCCAATCCATTATCCATCCATCCATCAAATCCATCATCCATCCAATCCATCCATCATCCATCCATTCCATCCATCCATCATCCCTCCCTTCAATCCATCCATCCATCCATTCAATCCATCCATCCATCCATTCAATCCATCCATCCATCCAATCCATTATCCATCCATCCATCAAATCCATCATCCATCCAATCCATCCATCACCCATCCAATCCATCATCCATCCATCCAATCATCCATCCATTGGGATGCAGTGCCAGTGGTGAGCCTTTTTTCATCAAGCAAATTGCTTTGGCATCCATCCATCCCATCCGTCCATCCATCAGGATGCAGTGTCAGTGGTGATCAGTGGCCAGAATGATGACTTCGTGCCCACTGTGTTCTTGAAGATCCCAGAGGAAAGAGCCTGATGGAATTAACATGGCTCATCTTGAGGGAAGTTCAGAAAGGAGGGGGGGGGGAGAGTAGGAGAAAAATGTTGTCCTGTGTCCTAATGTGATCATGGATGGCAGCTTCCTCAGGTTCTTCTCCATCAAATGGACAGACACCACCTTGGCTCCCCTGAGTGAGGTCTGTAGGGTGGTGGGACTATCCGAATATGAGAAGGTCTCCCACATTCCAGAACCTGCCAAGGAGTCCTTTGGATCACTAGGCTTGATGTCCTTCTTCTAGGCGGACCTGCTTGCCAAACAGTGACCGATACAGTTCTGTCCTGGAGGGGAGGGAGGGACAAGAGGCAGGGAAAGGCAAACAATTTGAAGTCATGAGAAGTTATTCAAGTTGGTAAGTCTAGCTCATTCCAGAGCCAGGAAAAAGCAAGAAAAGCAACAAAATGAAGTCAATAAAATAAGGAGGAGAAAGAGAGATCGGTCTCCAGAGGTTTCGGCACCTGGCCCCGTTATATGTGGGATAAACAGGATTGGAACTGGTTAATTCTTGTTGCTCAAATTCTCGGCAACCTTCCAGGGTTGCAGAGGCAAGATTGAACAATCAAAATATCTTCCAGATATAAATGCACCAACAGTCTGTAGAGACACTCAAGTCATCCAGGTTATGGTTCTCCCGAAGGATATTGTCCTGGATCTGGATGACTAAAAATCTCAACAGACTTTTAGCTACCGTATTTTTCGGAGTACAAGACGCACCAAGATTTTGAAGAGGGAAATTTTAAAAAAACTTTTTGCACTTTGCAGACCTCCCAAAAATGGCCCATTTTTCTTCAAAAAAAGGGCATGAATAGCCTTTAGGAGGCTTGTAGAGTGCTCCGGGGGTGGGCAAAAACGAGCAAAAAATGGCCTGTTTTTCGCAAAAACTGGTGCGGTTTTTTGTCAAAAAAAGTGCCTGCATAGCCTTTAGGGGGCTTATAGAGAGCTCCTGGGGGCTGGGGGGGGGCAGAATTGAGCAAAAACCAGTCAGTTTTTCACTCACTTCTGCCCTCCCCAGCCCCCAGGAGCACTCTGCAAGCCTCCTAAAAGCTATGCACAGCCATTTTGGTGAAGGGGACAGTGTTTCGGGAGGCCAAAAATGCTGTATTCAGTGTAAAAGACGCACCCAGATTTTCAGCCTCTTTGTTGAGTGAAAAGGGTGCGTCTTATATTCTGAAAAATACAGTATACAATTTGGGATGAACACACCTTTGAATGGTGTGGGAGTAGGAATGGATGTCCGGGGGGGGGGGAGTGCATACTACAGGAACCAGGAGCACCACTCAGGTGACCCTGAGGATACAGATAAACCTCCAAGTGCTTCAAGGACCCTCTAAAGGGATGGGAATGACCAGCTGTCTGCAAGGAATATAAATCCTTCCATTCTCCACTATCCAGTCAGAGCTGAAGAAGCTTCTTGGATGAGAAGTGAAACGTCTTCAAAGGAAAAAACAAGAAAGTCCAGTTGCTTCCTGAAAAAGCACCTTTGGGATAACAAGCTACCTCTAACTCTAACCAAGTGCTGACTGTTAGTTGAGAAGATTCTTATGCATAGGCTATGCAGGCAGTCCTCGACTTACAACAATGCATTCTGTGACCGCTTTACAACAGCACTGAGAAAAGTGACTTATGACTGCTTTTCACACGTATGACAGTTACAGCATCCCTGTGGTCATGCAATCAAAATTTGGACGCTTGGCCACAGGCATGTACTTATGAAGGTTGCACTGACCCCAGCTTCACTTAACAACCGTGTTACTAACTTAACAACTGCGGCAAGAACGGTCGTCAAAGAGGGCAAGTTCCAGTTCCTATATTCTATGACATGCCATTTCCTTCTTCTTTTTTAATGTAATTTCCCAAAACATTTTCCAGATAACAATAGAATTTCCTTCTACTGTGGTTTCATTCAAATACTGTCCATGTTTAACCCTACTTAACTCTTCAGGAATCAGCCAAGATTGAGTTGTGTTGCTTCCTAGTTGGACAAATGAAAGAAGAATGGCAGTCAAGAAGAGACAAGAGAAGAGCTAAGCAGAAAACCACAAGAGGAGACTATACTCTCTCCCAGATAAGCAGGGATTAACACCAGGCAAACAATCAAGCAGAAAACAAAACCCTAATGAAAAGACTATCAAGGAGAAAATATTTTACAAAAAATATATATACACACTTCCACCAATACTGGCAGGGCAAGATCCAGAGACATTCTGAACAAATGGGGCTATCTGGTGGCTTCTGCACTTTGCGATTGTGGTGACAACGACACATATGTACGTATATCTGGTCTTAGCACCCCGATCAGTGTACACTTGAGGAATTCATGGCAGTGCGACGGAACACAATTAAATGTTGCTGGTTTCTGGGCAAGAGCTGTTTAATTTGTACCTATTTTAATCTTGTATTTTAAATGTTTATGTCATATGGTATGCCCTTATTTTAATTGGGATGCTTCTGACATGAATAAACACAGCCCCCAGCCCCCTGAAACCCTGTTGCTGTAGGCGCCTTCTGAAGGGATTGGGGGGGGGGGGCAGGAAAAATAACTTCTCAAGGACAATTTTATACAAGGCAGGACCTGCCACGGACGTCATCCGGCTCTTCAAGGAAAAGGGCCACCCGATAATTAAAAATGCATCTTTTATTAATAAACATCAGGACTGCAGAGACCTTGCATGGCATCTCTCTCTCTCTCCTCTCACTCTTTCTCTCTCTCCTCTCTCCTTTCTCTCTCTCCTCTCACTCATTCCTCTTTCCCCTTTCTCTCTCCTCTCTCCCTCGTTCCCTCTTCTTTCCCCTCAAACACTTTCTCTCTCCCTCTCTCTTCTCATTCTCTTTCCACTTTCCCCTCACACACTTTTTCTCTCCCCCCTTTCTCTCTCTTCTCACTCTCATTCCTCTTTCCCCTCACATGCTTTTTCTCTCCTTCCTCTCTCCTCTCACTCTTTCCTCTTTCCCCTCACAATTTTTCTCTCCCCGCTTTCTCTCTCCTCTCTTCTCATTCCTCTTACCTCACCTGCTTTTTCTCTCCCTCTTTCTCTCTCCCTCTCCCTTCTCATTCTCATTCCTCTTTCCCCTCACACTTTTTTCTCCCTTTCCCCCTCCTCTCTCTCTTTCTCTCTCCTCTGTTCCTTCTCACTCATTCCTTTTTCCCCTCATACACTTTTTCTCTCCCCTCCCTCCCTTCTCATTCTCATTCCTCTTTCCCCTCACCCGCTTTCTCTCCCCCCTTCTCTCTCCTCTCTCCCTCCTCACTCTCATTCCTCTTTCCCCTCACACACTTTTTCTCCCCCCTTTCTCTCTTCTCTTTTTCTGTCTCCTCTCTCCCTCTCTTTTCTCACTGAATCCTCTTTCTCCCTCACACACTTTTTCTCCCCCCTTCTCACTTTCTCTCATCTCTCTTTTTCTCACTTTCTCTCTCCTCTCTTTCTCTCCCCACTTGCTTCCCTCTCTCCTCTCTCTCCTTTTCACTTTCTCTCTCCTCTCACTCTTTCCTCCCTCTCCCTTTCCCCTCTCACACGCTTTTTCTCTCTTCCCTTTTTCTCCTCTCTCACTCTTTCCTCTCTCTCATCTTTCTCTCCCACCTTCTCTCTCCTCTCCCACTCTTTCTCTCTCTCCTCTCAATCGTCTCTCTTTCCCCTCTTTCTCTCTCTCCCTTTCTCTCCCCCCCCCCTCTCTCACACACACACGGCCTCCCAATATGTAAATACGACACGAGCCTTAGATCCCATCTCTCTGGGGACTGAGGGTTTTTTTGTTCCTCCTCGAAGTTTGCCCTTTCCAAACAAGGCTTTTCAGGGAAGGAACAAGATTGAATATTTTAATAGGAATGTATGAGAACCGGGGCGATGAAAGGACGGGCGATTCAATCAGCCAGGTTGTATGGGATTGTAATTTCATTTTCATATATGTTATCCTTTCTTCCCTGAGACTGACATAATACTTGAAGGAGAGACAATCAACTCAAGCCCGCAACGATGTTCAAATTGATTGCGGTTTTGGACTAGCGGAATGTTGCTCGCCGAATTAAAATAAAAATTGGTTTGTTTTGGAGGGGGCGGGGAGGAGAAAGTTATGTGCGATAAAGAAGTGGTCAGAGGTCCGAATAGGGCCAGGAAGGTACTGTAGAACAGATTCGGAAAAACAACAGTTGTGCAGGTATTACAGATGCTAAACATATAAATATACAATTGGAGATACTATTTAGGTCAGAGATATCCAAGCCTGGGGACTTTAAGGCTTGTGGACTTCAACTCCCAGAATTCCCCAGACAGCCGGCTGGGGAATTCTGGAAGTAGAAGTCCACCAGTCCGACATTTGGCTGTCTGGGGAATTCTGAGAGTTGAAGTCCATAAGTCTTAAAGTAACCAAACTGGGACATCTCCAACTTGGGATAGCTGTCCAAAATTCCTAAAGAGCCCACAGATAATTTGCAACGCATAAGGTCAATAATCTTCAGGAATTTATGAATTTAGCCGAGCCTGGTTTTCAAATCCTCCATTTCCTAAAAATGTTTTCTTCCATTGCAAGTACTCGGTCTGTATGTTTTATCGTGGCATGGAAAGAGGTGCACCCATTTGCCGAGAATAATTCAAACATTATTCATAGGGAGCAATCCCCAGCAAACCAAACGACATACTGCGCAAACAAGGCATGCTTTCTATTTCAAAGCTAATGAAATCTGGATACAAGGTACTTCCAAAATCACTCAGAGCAGCAATGCTAGAATTTAAAAAAAATGTGAACAGACCCAATCCTCTCAACTTAAAAAATAAACAAGGGTGCGGGAAGGAGAGAAAAATCCTCTCTTTGTTCTGACCCGAGAGTGTGAAGCAAACTCCTTGTCCCGACAAAAAACCCTTTTATTAATTGACTGTGAATTCTGCTCATTCACATCCAGCAAAGTCTTTCGAGGGAGGATTTACAGTCACAGACCTTATCTGGCTTGGAGAGCTGCCAGGCNTGCCAACCTAGCAGTTCGAAAGTATGAAAAAATGCAAGTAGAAAAATAGGTTCACCTTTGGTGGGAAGATAACAGCGTTCTGCGCGCTTTCAACATTTAGTCATGCCAGCCACATGACCACAGAGACGTCTTCAGACATAGTATGTGCGAGGGAAACCTTTACCTTTATGACTCATAATGGGCAGCTTTCATCATGGTCATATGTTGAGGACTTAGCCGTATTGATATTTCTTGCATCAAAACACCAAAACAATGCTAATCTTATTGCTAAAAAACAACAGCCGCAATTAATATTTCTAATCTTTATTTTTATGAAAAAAGAAATCTCATACACTGGTGGAAAAACTATTGAGTCAATTTGAAATATAAAAGATTACTCTAATTCACTTGTAATTTTAGTTTAAATATTTTGTCACTGAATTTACTAATTCAGCATTGTTATTTCACCTCCGAATGTACTTTCATTTGTAAACTGCCCAGAATTGCTTTGATAGTGAAATGGACAGCATCTAAATTTGATAAATAAAAAATGAAAAAAATATTCTTTGACAATCTATTTCATCAACGCTGCAATCCTCGCAACATACTGTATATGCTCAGTTATCATTCTTAATTAATTTAAATATCTACTATGGAAAGCTCTTTTAATTATTAACTGAAACACTACTTTAATTTTTAAGGTCAATAAATCTATATAGAAAAGTGTTTATCATTCAAGGCATCTACACGTATGACATCACACACAAATACAAAGGCATAAGACTCTATTTTATTGACTACATTCGTGTGTGTGTTTGCACACATTTGTGAGTGATGGTTCCAAGACAATGAATATAGCATGTTGTATTATTACATACACGGACACGTGTTACTTATACAAAATAACCTCCGCTGGAAGACTGAGCACACCATGCTAGTAAATCCACTTGATGGGATTTTAATTTCCAATGATCTCCTGAATAAAAACAAGTGAATTGGTCTTCCCTTTGTTAGATTTATCCTGTACCTAAATTCTATGGGATGTCAGGCCTCTTCAAATCCCTACCAGAAAAATAATTATAATAATATATTAAAAGCTCTGGACTAAAAGTTCACAAGTGTTTATCAGTTTAGAGCAGAGGTCGTCAAACTTGGGCACTTTAAGACTTGTGGACTTCAACTCCCAGAATTCTCCAGCCAGCATAGGGCTTAACGGATGTCCTGGAGCACACACCGAGATTGGCAGCTCTTTCAATGTAAGAAACACATGGGGACACACACACACACACACACACGCGCGCACACACACACAGAGCCATTTGTTTATTAATTTGTTTATTAATGCCTGACACCACTGTTTTTCTAAAAAAAAAATCCAATTTTATTCCACATTCACTTAGGCAAAATGTCATCAAGTTTTTTTTCAGGAAATTTGAAGGCCTTTTTTTCATCAAGCAAATTGCTTTGGCATCCATCCAAACCATCATCCCTCCATTCCATCCCATCCACCCATCCAATCCATCCATCATCCCTGATCCATCCATCCAATCCATCATTCTTCCCTCACTCTGATCCATCCATCCATCCATCCTCCATCCAATCCAACCATCCATCTCATCCATCATCCATTAAACCCAATCCATCCAAACCATCATCCATCCAATCCATCATCCATCCATCCATCCAATCTATCATCCATCCATCCATCATCATCCATCCATCCATCAATCCATTCCATCCATCATCTATTCATCCATCCATCCATTCCATCCATTCCATCCATTCCATCATCCATCCAATCCATCCATCCATCATCCATCCAATCCATCCATCATCCATCCAATCCATCCATCCATCCATCCATCCATCCATCCATTCATCATCCCTCCATCCAATCCATTATCCCTCCATCCAATCCATCCATCCATCACCCATCCATCCAATCATCCACCCATTGGAATGCAGTGCCAGTGGTGAGCCTTTTTTCATCAAGCAAATTGCTTTGGCATCCATCCATCCCTCCATCCAATCCATCATCCTTCCCTCCCTCTGATCCATCCACCCATCCTCCATCCAATCCATCCATCATCATCCATCCATCCCATTCCATCCACCATCTATTCATCCATCCATCCATCGACCATGGTATCCTTCTGCGACGACTGCGGGAGGTGGGAGTGGGAGGCACTGTTNTCAGAGCCTTCCCCAGACTCCAGGACTGGCCCATCTTCCTCCCCAACCTCCTCACTGTCCGAATCTTCTGCCAGCTCTGCTGGTGGGCCACAGCACTATTTTGCAGGCAACTCCCGTTTCCAAACTGAATCTGGAAAGGAAGAATTCTATGTTTGCTTGTTTGCCCTCTCTCTGCTGCAGTGACTTTGGGTGGCTTACAAAATGACAAAAAGATAATACTAAAACAATTAAAATTAAGAAGATTAAAAAAGAAACCATAGGGGGATTATATTGGGGGAGGGAGATATGGAAAAGAAAGAATGGGATCTTCTGGAATATATATATATATATATATAAACTTCTTCAATCAAGTCCAAGGTAACAATTATGAAATTCTAGTCTAGGTTAGTGATGGAGTGCCCAAACAGGAACATGCATGCATGTACATGCATGTGCTGGAAACCCGAAGAACAGCTGGCCAGTGAGCATGCGTGTGCCAGCCAGCTAGTCTTCAGGTTTCTGGTCCATGCATGCCTGTTTTTTGGCCATTTTGCAGGCCTTTTTTAGGCCACGAAAAATGGCATGAAAATGGCTTGAAAAACGGCCGGAAAAAGTCCTGGGTTTTGGCCATTTTGGGGGGCTGTTTTCAGGAGCTCCAGCACCCACGAAGATCAGCTGGCCAGTGTACATGTGCACTCTGGAAGCCGGAAGAGCAACTGGCGATGGCACATGTGCCCACGGAGAGGGCTCCGCGTATTACCTGTGGCACACATGCCATAGGTTTGCAATCACAGGTCTAGATCAGCCAGTTGGATATCTAAAGGTTTTTAAATCTGGGCTGATAGCAGCAATATTTCTTACAATCATAAACTGGGAATCTTTGAATATCAACGTGTTTCTTTGAGGCACAATTTAGCCGTGTTTCATTCCCTGAAGAGAAAGAAACTGAACACATTTTATGATAGTTAAATATTTTCCAGTTGTTTTACAGTTGCAAAAAGACTCAGCTATATGCTGCGTGGTAGGAGAAATCCTTTTATAGGCCTACATGTCTGCCTGTAGGAAACAGTACAAAACTCTGAAAAATCAAGCAGTGTTAAGTGAATCACTTAAATTGATGTTAAGTTACTAACATTAATCTGGCTTCCCCCCACTGACTTTGCTACTCAGAAGGTCGCAAAAGGGGATCACGTGACCTTGGGATACGGCCACCGTCATGAATACAGGCTGATTGCTGAGCGTCCGAATTGATCATGTGTCCATGGAGACAGCATACTAAAAAGCAGAGACATCCCCCTGCCAACAAAGTGCATCTAGTCAAGGCTGTGGTTTCCCCAGTTGCAATGGATGGCTGTGAAGGTTGGACCATATGGAAGGCTGATCAAT